TTGCTTCTACTCGAGTCGTCATCTTGACTCATCGCCTCGAGTCGTCTGTTCATCTAGGCTGGTTTGAGTCTCGTCTCGTCTCGTCCATCTGTTTAGTCATCTCGACTGTTGACTCGACTCGGATTGAGATGTTGAGTCATCGTCCACTGATGTCATTGTTCGTTGATGTCTGCTGATGCCGTCTCGTCCGTTGATGTCGTCTCAGTCGTCCGCTGATGTCAAGTCTCCTACCACCTATTCCACCTTCATCTGTGATTAGGGGGAAACCCTTATGGAGTTATGATCGGGAGAGCCAGCACGCGACTATGATCAGCTCAAGCTATTTAGGTACACTGCATTTTATCATGTTAGAACAGATAAATTGGAACCTCGAGCTAGGAAGGCTATATTTGTGGGATTCAAGCATGGTGTCAAGGGATACAAGCTTTAGGATACAGTTGATAAGAAGATTGTGCTGAGTAGATACGTCACATTCGATGAGGCTTCTATCTTGAAGCTTCCAAACTCTCATCAGGTGGAGAACGACCCGACAGTGAAGATATCGTAGGTGGTGGAGATTGGTACAGCTCCACATTGTCCAGATGAGACCGTATCCATTAGAGTGCCGACTGATGTGATGCCAGGTGAGCATGGTGATGATTGGAGAATACAGGTACAATTGTGTAGGATCAGGAACCAACGACTCAGGTTCAGGATTCTGTTATGGTTTGGAGACAGAGGAGAGACATACGGATGCTAGCTAGGTATACAAATATAGTCATTGCGTATGCACTTCCGATAGAGAGTGTCAATAAGATGGTTCCTACTACATTCAGAGAGGCCGAGCAGAGTTCGGATGCTGATTTGTGACAGGTGGCTATGCAGGAGAAGATGAAGTCTTTTCATAAGAACGACACATAGGAGCTTGTCGAGCTTCCAAAGGGACGAAAGGCTATTGGTTGAAAGTGGGTGTATACGAAGAAGGAGGGCATTGAAGGCACTCCCGTTAGGTTCAAAGCTAGGTTGGTTGCGAAGGGCTATGCACAGGAGGAATGTATTGATTATAATGAGGTTTTCTCTCCGATGGTGAAACATTCTTTGATTCGTGCTAGCTTTGGTAATATAGTATGGTTTAGAGTTAGATCAGTTGGATGTGAAAATATTATTTTTTTCATAGTGATCTTGATGAGGAAATCTATATGACTCAGCCATTGGGATTCTGAGCTACAGGGAAGGATAAATTGGTTTGTAGATTGAAGAAATCGCTATATAGGCTGAAGCAATCTCCTCGACAGTGGTATAAGCGATTCGATGGGTTCATGATCAGTCATTAGTACATTAGGAGCTAGTTTGATCATTGTGTGTACTATCACAAGTTGAATGGAGGTGCGTACATTTACTTATTACTTTATGTTGATGACATATTGGTTGCTTCTACTTCTAGATCCGTGATAGATAGATTGAAGATTTAGCTTTCGAGTGAGTTCGAGATGAAGGATTTGGGTGAAGCTAAGCGTATTTTGGGAATAGAGATTGGTAGAGACAGAGACATGGACAAAATTTGTTTGACACATGTGGCTTATTTGAAGAAGATTCTACAACGGTTCAATGTGAGCATGGAAATAAAGTCAGTTAGTGTACCATTGGGAGTCCATTTGAAGCTTTTAGCTGACCTTTCACTGAAGACAATTGAAGATCGAGAGTTGATGTCGAAGACTCTATATACGAGCGTAGTTGGGAGTTTGATGTATGCCATGGTTTGTACGAGGCCGAATTTGTCACAGGCAGTGAGCATGGTTTCTAGATACATGCACAACCCAAGTCCGGGTCATTGGGATGCCGTGAGATGGATTTTGAGGTACATTCGAGGTACTCTCAATGTTGGTTTGGTTTTTAAGCGGAACACTAGCGGTGGGCAGCTATGTATTGGATATGTAGATTCTGACTACGCTGGAGACTTGGATAAATATCGGTCGACAACGGGGTATGTATTCACTTTGACCCATGCATCAGTGTGTTGAAGATGCACATTGCAGTCTACGGTGGCTTTATCGATGACGGAGGCAGAGTATATGACGATTACGGAGGCTGTTAAGGAGGCGATTTGTCTTCGAGGACTTTTGGAGGATCTTGGTGTTTCCCAACGATCCGTCACCATTTATTGTGATAGCATGAGTGCTATTTATTTGGCAAAGAATCATGTCTTTCATGCGAGGATGAAGCATATCAACGTTCGTTATCACTTCGTTCGGGATGTTCTTGAAGATGGGGATGTGGAGCTCGTGAAGGTCCACACAAAAGATAATCCAGCGGATATGCTCATAAAGATGGTTCCAGGTAACAAGTTTGATCATTGTAGAAACTTGTTGCAAATTCGTGATTGTTGAGGTCGTTCGTGGTCATTTGGATGAACTACGGGCGGCTTGATCCCTTGGAAAAGGGGGTATGTAGGCAACCACATTGGTGCAGCCAGATTTGGTGAGACGACGTAGTGGTGCTCATGTTTGGTGTCGGCTCAGTTTTGAAAAAACTTCACCGAGGTGGAGAATTATAGAGAAATTGGCGAATTACAGGAAAATCGAAGCTGGCGATTTGCTTACAGGCCGGTCGACCGCGGGGACTTTCCCGGTCGACCTGATTCGTGCACGTTACAGGCTGAGTTTTCAGCTCTCTGGCCAGTCGACCGCGGGCTCATGCCCGGTCGACAGCAACGCGGTTTTGGGCTCAGTTCGGTTTCCTGGTTAGTTTTGGATGCACTGTTTGATATAAATACAAACACGTTTTTTAGGGTTTTTTAAGGAGAGAATTAGCAGACTTTTGAGTATTTTAAGAGGAAGATATTGTGAGGAAGTTGAGAACTTTGGTTAGGGTTATATTTGAGTAATTTTGTAAGTTGTTACCCGTTGTATTTCTCCTCCATATAGTGAAATCTCCCCATCCTCTCCCCGTGGACGTAGGCAATTGCCGAACCACGTAAATTCCTGTGTTTGGTTTGATTTGTACCGTATTTTGGTGGATTGCACTCGTGATTTGATTTGGTTTTCTTCTCTCGTGGCTTGCGGACTCGTTTGGTGTGCGAGCATGTATTCGCAAGGCGCAACAAATCATCATCCTTAAAGAATTTCTAATAAAAAGATAAAATGCTAGGATAGTTACAAACTTGTGGAAAGCAACATGTTAAGGAACAGAAGCTGCTTGTTCCCCTTTAGCTGAGATTCGTGTCACCAAATTCACCACTTTTACGAGTATAAATTAAAATTATAACCGTCAACCCTCGTAACAACTGCGGAGTTTTGATATAATAGAAGGATGTTAAGAACCAGCAAGTCCAATTCATATATATAGAAACACTGACAAGTTTTACCCGGAGGCACGACAGATAATAAGGAAGAAACGTTTCCTATAATCTATGCCTGAAAGAATTTATCTCAAAATTTATTTTTTTCTCCTTTTCCTTCTGTTCTCTGATTTCTTCATTTTTCTATCACATTTGCAAATCAAAAGGATCATGACATTTATAAAATGCTCTGTTTGCAGACAATCATCATATTAAAGTAGCTTCCCATTAGTAGGCTTTGATTGGTGGAAATTGACTATCAGAGAGGTAAATGCTTTTCTCCCTATTATGTCGTTGACTCATTAATAATGAACTATACAATAATTTTCTCTATTAGTTAATTTATGGAGCAATTATTTACCATTTATCATCTATGAATGCATGGAAAATTATTCATTAATTTCATGCAATTCATATCCTGAAAATTCATTTTTTAGCTCGTTTAACTTTTAGATTATTATTATTAGTTCTTGGGATATACTGCAATTATGTAATGATATATTGCATCATCACATTGAAGTAGCTAATCTAGTTTCTTGACAAAAATATTTGAATTTGCGCTGCGCCCAAGTTAACACCATTAGTCATGGTATACGATAGTTAAGTATGACAACAACGTGTGTGCGTGTGCGTGTGCGTGTTCTTTTTTTATTTTTTTATTTTTTTTGGGGGGTGGGGGGGAGGCGGCCAACCATATTACAGTTGCTCCAGCTCACTGGACATGTTGCGAAGAGCAGCACACATGCAGTTGATACATTTATAATGTACTCCTCCGTTATAATAATGACATGCTGCTTTCAGTTTCCTTCTTGAAAACCTTAGGTTGACCAAAATATAGCGCCTTAGAATCTAAGTAGGCTGTCATGTTGAGCACTTCGAGAATGACAAGAAAACCATGCATAGCTGAATCATTAACAAATTATTGTTGCCCAGCACTGAGCGCCATTCCTTGCTACTGTTTCCTACACTCTAATTAATTATTCCACGCTTTGTTCGTTGACTTCCATTACTTGAAATTGATCTCTCTTTTTAGTAGACACGTGTATGGTGTGTATCACATGTATGCATGCGTATATTGTCCGTGATTATTTGCTTCTGCTTCTTTTTAGAAGTTTTGATAAAGTTCAGACAAGTACAGTACACCCATCGAACACGGATGACTTCAAGTGTTCACAGCTTATTCTAAGAGAATTTTTTTAAAAAAGACCCTTTTAAAACTTTATTAGCAAAATCGACCTATTTTTTATATATATAATCAGCAAAGTCGACCTCTTTTTGGCCAACTGCCCAAAAAGATGTCGATTTTGCAAAAAATAAAGCTTTAGAATACACGGGACTACTAGTCCCATGTATTTAGTGGTGCCTAATGACACCCTAATGAAGTTTAATGAGTCTCATGTATTTTTTAAAATTTAATTAGCATGTGATTAGCCAATACTATTTAGTATTTACACATGGTGCTACTACTCCTATGTATTTTAAAAACTATATTCTGCAAAATCGACAAAAAAAGTTGATTTTACCAATTAAATCCACAAAAGGTCGATTTTGCTAATAAAATTTCAAAGACGGTGTTTAAAAAATTTACCCTTATTCTATTAGTATTGAGATGTGGTGAATGTTCTCTCTTATATACCGGTGCCGAACCGAGTTAAAAAAAAAACCAAACCAACTTAACAGAAGATCTCTCTCTCGCTCTCTCATGTCGGATCCCTCAACGACTTCTCTGCAACTCCCTCTCTTAGATGTCTCTCACCCTTTACTTCCTTCCACACTCTGCTCTCTCTCCCAAGCATGCAGGGACTGGGGATTCTTCCACATCACCAACCATGGCGTCTCCAAAGACCTCCACGCTAAACTCCACTCCCTCTCCAAGCAGGCTTTCAGCATCCCATCAGACATCAAACTTAAATTAGGACCATTTTCTCCCATTAACACTTACACACCCCATTTCATTGCCTCTCCTTTCTTCGAAAGCTTGCGAGTCTCCGGCCCCGACTACTATGCTTCAGCCAAGAGCTCTGCCGGTGTCCTCTTTGGAGTTCCTAATTCTGAGTTCTGGTAAATGCAACTACTCATCTCTGACCATTGCAGTTTCTATTTTTTAAGGACTTCTTTTTTTTTGTAGTTAATTCTAATTAATATTCTGATCTTCCCAGTGACGTACTTCAAGAATATGGGAGCAAAATGATGGGTTTGTCAAAGAAAATCACTACCATTCTGTTAAATTGTTTGGGAGATGGCTTCGGGGTGAAATATTACGAACCCGAGTTTAGTCATTCCCATGGGTACCTGAGAATAAATAATTACTCCCCTCCTGAGGCTGCCAGCTCGCAGGAGGTCGAAGGCCTCGGGATGCACACTGACATGAGCTGCATCACGATTCTGTTTCAAGATGAGATCGGAGGACTACAGGTGAGATCAAAGCTAGGGGAGTGGATGGACATAATGCCCAGTGAGGGAACGCTCGTCGTGAATATTGGAGATTTGTTGCAGGCTTGGAGCAACGGGAGGCTTAGATCATCTGAACACAGGGTGATCTTAAAACAACCAGTTCGACGTTTCTCTTTGGCTTTCTTCTGGTGCTTTGAGGACGAAAGGGTTGTTGCAGCACCGGAGGAGGTAGTGGGCGAAGGGAACAAGAGAATCTATAAGCCGTTTGTGTGCGGAGACTACATTAAATTTAGGGAGAACAGCGAGAGGGGGAGATTTGAGAAAGTTGGGTACACTGTAGATGACTTTGCAGTGACCACATCTTCACAATCTAAGGAGGTTGATCCGAGGCGGACGATTAGCTTGTGATTTTTTTTTCCTCTTAATTTTTAGCAAAACTGTATTGTAAAGTTCTCTGATTGGGAACTGTTGTTCGTCTCAAATGGGGTTGTAAGATTTGTATCAAAGAGACATACTAAAAAATAAGATTTATTACGTGCATTGTTCAGGATTTTTCTTTCTTTCTTTGTTCTTCGCCTCTGTGAAAGATTTAAGATAAACCTATCTTAAACTCAGTCTTGCCGATGTTTATACATGGAATTTGCAAGCTTCGATACTTATTGCAAGGTGATTCAAGTAAATCTCGAGGCTCATGAAGTTAGTTATGGCGATTGGAGGTCAAATGTTTCTGGTTCATGTTTAGGTTCAGGCATGTTAATAAATTGATGAAGAAAACGCACCTGAGATCGAGCTTGCCTGCAAGTGACGGTGTGGAGGCGAGGAGCTTGGACGGAGCTTGGGCGTGGGCTGAACAGGCGAGGGAGTTCGTCTGTGCGCTGAGGCGAGGACGAGCTCGCTTGTAGGTGAGGGCCAGCACGAGGAGATTCGGAGCTCGCCTGATCTCTTGCTTGCTCGTGAGTGGAAGCTAGCTAGGAGAGCGAGGATCGCCATGTGAACGTAGCTCCCTTGCGTGAATGGGATCCAGCTGGAGACCTAGGGTTTCCCTGTAAAAGGGAGACCCTGTTCTCTAGATCCCCTTTAAGCTTCAGATCACGATTTTATAGAGTTCAAGAAAATTTTGTGTCGACGGCTATTTTCTCAGACTTGCGGCATTTATTGAGAAGTCTTAAAGACGATTCTCAGTGAGATTGAGCGGTGATTTATTCAGTTGAATAAATCACACGTGATACTGTAGCAATTCTACAGTAATGTATATTTTATTTGAGAGATCTCAAGTTTGAGATCTTCTCTTTGCAAGTTTGTAATTTCTTATGGTTAAATAAGAAATTATTTGTGTGGCTCCCGTGGATATAGACAAGTTTGCCGAACCACGTAAATCTATTGTCTCCTCTCCTTTACTTATTTTTTTATCTGTGTATTCGCTATTACTTGTGTTGGTTGTTCTCTCTCAGGTTGATTTAGCTTCCGCGGTCAAGTGGGTCATTTCTATCCTAACAACTGGTATCATAGCCCTTTATTCAGATTAGTGGTGGTAGAACTTCCGATTTGATGTGGTGCTTGGTTATTATGTGGTGCACACAAGGTATTTGTTGGAATTCCTGAGAGAAGCAGATTTATTAATACAAGCGGAGAATGACGTCTACAAGTAAAACAGTTAAAGTTGGAAAGTATGAGATCGAGAAATTCAATGGGAAGAATGATCTTTCCTATTGGAGGATGCAGATGAAAAATTCACTGATTTCGTAGAAATTGCACAAGGCGTTGGCGGGAAGAGAAAAAAAGCACAAAGATATGTCTGATAAGGATTGGGAAGAGTTAGATCTTGAAGCACGAGCATCGATTATCCTATGCCTTGAGAGGGACGTTGCTTTCTTGGTGGATGGAGAGGAAACGACTGTGGGCGTGTCGTCAAAGTACATTCATGATGAAGAGTCTAACAAATCAGATCTACTTGAAATCCAAATTGTATACTTACAAGATGGAGGAAGGCTCATCAATCCGGGAATACATCAACAAGTTTGATAGGATCATATCGGGTTTGAAGGACATTGATGTGATAGTAGAAGATGAGGATCAAGCACCTCTGCTACTTCTTTCTTTACCGAAGTCTTATGAGAACCTGATACAAACATAGATGCTTGTAGGAGATAATTTAAAGATGGATGAGACTAGAACGGCACTTCTGACAGATGATCTTCAAAAAATTGTAACTAGTGATATGGCCACTGGTGGTAACAAGGAGCAAGCACAAGGATTGGTTGTAAGGGGAAGGGGTAATGAGCGAGGAAAAGGCAAGGGAGAAAAGTCTAGATCGAAATCGAGACCTCTTGCAGGAAGACCGTGTTTTAAATGCGGTGAGCTTGGGCATTTTAAGGTTGACTGTCCTAACAAGAGAGTAGGTGGGAAGAAGAACAATAATAAAACCGAGAGAAGGGAAGGCAAGGAAGAGGTGAGTTATGTCTCGGAGGAAGGGAACGATAAAGAATGCTATATTGTTACGGGTGGCGAAGATATCTCCGGTAAGTGGATTCTTGATTCGGGTTGCTCTTACCATTTGTGTCCAAATAAGAAGTGATTTACTACCTATAGAAGTACTGATGGTGGAACCGTATTTATGGGAAATAACCATGCTTGTAAAACGGTTGGGCTTGGTGATATAAAAATCAAAATGCATGATGGAGCGATCAGAACCCTAACAGACATGAGGCATGTTCTCGACTTGCGGAAGAATCTTATCTCATTTGGTGCTTTGGACTTTGGTGGTTGTAAGATAGTAATAGAGAACGGAGTAAAGAAGGTTTTTCGACGTTCCTTAATAGCGATGAAGGGTATTCGTCATGATAATCTACATACTCTCTCGGGCACGATAGTGACAGGAGATGCAGCAGTTGGAACTGAAGGAAGTGGTGGAGACCAATGTGTGCACACTCGGTTATAGCATAGGCGGCTTGGGCACATGTCAGAGAATGATCTAGATCTGCTTGGTAAAGTGGGTTTGCTGAAGAATCTGAAGAAACCTTGTATGGATTTTTGTGAGGATTGTGTATACAGGAAGGCACACAGGGTCCAGTTCTTGAAAAGTAATCATAAGAGCAGAGGTATATTAGACTATGTGTACACAGATGTGTGGGGTCCGACTCAAACAACTTCTAATGGTAGTTCCAGATATTTTGTCTCGCTCATAGATGATCATTCGAGGTATGCTTTGATTTATTTTCTTAAACATAAGAATGAGGTATTCAAGACATTTAAGAAGTGGAAAGCAATAGTTAAGAACAGGACATGCAAGAAATTGAAGACACTGAGATCTGATAACGATACAGAGTATATAGATGGTGCTTTCAAGGAGTTCTGTGATCAGGAGGGTATTGCTCGACACTGGACAGTTAGGTCTACACCACAGCAGAATGGAGTCGCAGAGAGACTGAATTATACATTGCGGGAGAAAGCAATGAGTATGCGATCATATGTTGGTTTGGGCAAAGAATGGTGGACAGAAGCGGTTGCTATAGCTTGTTACATAGTGAATCGTTCTCTACATTCGACATTGGATGGTGATGTACCCTATGGTCAGAGGAGCATGCAGATTACGATAGGCTCAGGATTTTCAAATGTACCGCCTACTATCACGTCAACGAGGGAAAGCTTGATGTGAGGGATAAGAAGGCAATATTATTAGGGTATGTAAAGGGCGTAAAAGGCTATCGCCTTTGGTGTACATAAGATTCCAAGTTCGTGATTAGCAGAGATGTTACCTTTGATGAGAAATCCATGATTGCCAGAGCATCCAAGAAAGGTGGTGTTAAGACTGTTGGGACTTAAAGTCACAGGTGATCGAAATAGAACCCAAAAACCAACCAGGTTCTAGTCATGTTCAAGAGGAAGATCATGAAGATGATGAGCTTGAACAAGAGGAGGTTCAACAAGAAAATGTACAGGTATTACAACAACAATAGCTCGAAGATAGTTTGGCTTCCACTAGGCCAAGGCGAACATATAAGCATGTTCAAAAGCTGGGATCAGACAGCCTCTGAAGCACTATGGACATGTAAATTTGGTTGAGTACGCACTCTCGATGGAGGAGGATGAGTCGGTCACCTTCAAAGAAGCTATTCAGGACAGGGATAGTGATAATTGGTTAGCTACTATAGAGGAAGAGATGGAATCTCTCCGGAAGAACCAAACATGGGAGGTAGTTCCATTGCCCGTAGAGAAGAAAGCTATTGGTTGTAAGTGTGTATACAAAAAAAGGAGGATCCTTCCGAGCTCGATGGTACAAGATACAAGGCTAGACTAGTGGCTAAGGGATTTGCACAAAGAGAGGGTGTGGATTACAATGAGATTTTTTTCTCCAGTGGTGAAACACACTTCTATTCGGGTGCTATTGAGTACTGTTGCTCATAGTGATCTTGATCTGGAACAACTCGATGTTAAAATGACCTTCTTGCACGAAGACTTGGAGGAGGAAATCTATATGCATCAGCCTGAGGGTTACAAGGTTGAGGATAAGGAGAATCAGGTATGTCGCTTAAGGAAATCACTTTATGGATTGAAATAATCTCCTCGAAAGTGGTACACGTGATTTGACTCCTTCATGCTAAAGTATGGGTTCTCCAAAAGCGATTATGACTGTTATGTCTATATTCAGAAGCTTCGTGAAGGTGATTATATCTATCTTCTTTTGTATGTGGATGACATGATTATTGCTTCGAGAAGCAAGGTAGAGATAAAATCTTAACTTGGTAAAGAGTTTGAGATGAATGACATGGGCACTGCTAAGAAAATATGGGGAATGGAGATTAGAAGAGAACGAGCAAATCAACGATTATTCTTGAGTCAGAAGGGCTACATTGAGCGGGTTATCGCTAGGTTTGGGATGCCGAGTGCTAAGTCGGTGGTGACTTCATTGACTCCACACTTTAGGCTCTCAAGTAAACAATCTCTCACTATAGCAGAAGAGAAGGCACACATGGAGTATGTACCTTATGCTAGTGCAGTTGGCAGTTTAATGTACGCAATGGTGTGTACACGTCCAAATATTTTACAGACGGTCAGTGTTGTCAGTGGGTTCATGGCGAATTCGGGAAAGACACATTGGGAAGCAGTGAAATGAGTCCTGAGGTATTTAAAGGGTAACGCTGATACGAGTCTATGTTTTGGTGGAGATACATGTCGGATTGATGGATTTGTGGACTCTAATTATGTGAGCGATCTAGACAGACGACGATCTACTACTGGTTATGTATTCAAAATACATGGTGCTCCAGTTAGTTGGTGATCGATGTTACAGGCTATAATGGTATTTTCTACTATAGAGGCTGAGTACATGGCCATGACAGAGGGAGTGAAGGAAGCATTTTGGTTGTGGGGTCTGTTAGACAATTTGGGGATTGAGCAGGAACTGCGTGAACTTGTGGTGCGATAGTCAGAGTACGATTCATTTGATTAAGAATCAAGTTCATCATGCTCGTACAAGCATATTGTGTTAACCCTATAGTTTTGATGATGATTTGTCAAACAATTTATCGCTAATATATTCTCTAGTTTTGTATTTATGTTTCTCTTTACAGGTATTTCAACACACAACAATCAAGCGTTAAAGATTCAAATTCACATGTGTGGAATTACCTAGGTATAAGTTTAGTTTACTTACATATATTGTATGTTTATATTTAAGCTCAATATATGTACACTTAACACGATTTTTGACGTTTTCTACCAAATAAATGATTTTTCATCAAACGTCGTTACAATATCTTTTATCTCATGTTTACAACTCTTTCATACTCTATTATATATACATAATACATGCATAAGATATATTTACGTGTTTATGAGTTATATCAAAAATTTTATTTTCATAAAATACAGGTTTTACGAACACTTTTCAAAAACAGTGTGTTTTTGCAAACAAAAATTATTTTTCCAAAAATTCCTTTTCTAACATGTTCATTTTATCATTTAGAAACTTTTCCCAAAGTTTTATTATTTTTGGAATTGATTTAATATTTTTAATGCATTTTTAATTTTAGCCAAAAAACCTGTCAATGCCTAGTATCAGTTTACGGTCGACCGCCGGAAGTTATCTTTCAGCATTTGGTTTTTATATGCCCGCGGTCGACCGTGACGGTCGACCGTGATCCTTCCAGAGAGTTTCGCGGTCGACCGCCGCGGTCGACCGCCAGCCTTAAAACCCTATTCTCAGGATTCAAGATTTCCACGGTCGACCGCCGATTTAATCATTGGTTTTTAACGGCTATTTTCACAACGGCTCTCTGGGGGCTTTTTAGTCTTTTCAAGTTGGTTTTTGGCTGATATTTGAGAGGGTATAAATACCCCATTGCTGCTCTCTTTTAAAAATCCAAGTTTTGTGTTTAACAAAATATTAAGTGTGTTTATAAGAGCTGTTTAAGCTAATTTCATCAGTCTGTTTCAAAAGAAATTTTCCTACAACAAGAAGTGGCTTTCAAATCCTATTGGGATCATCATCTACTGTTCTTCTTGTTTGAGAAGTTTTCTAAACTCTTATATAGCTTACTATTCTATTTTCATTTCATTAGCTATATTTATTAAGTTGTGTTATTTTTTTCATTCACTGTTATCACACACACATATTGAGCTTAATATCTTCATATCATATAGTGTGGGTTGTGGGGTGTGATTTAGTGAGTGTGAGCTTCATTTGCGTTCTTATTTTTTGTTGAGAACAAATCATTATATTTACCTTTATTTGTGAGTATCACTTGTAATACACTTGTACACCGAGAGAAGTGTGAGGCGAGAGACGGGGTCAAATCCAATAGGAGTGGCGTCGGTTGACGAACCTAGGGAGAGGTTGCATCCGAGCACTTGAGGAGGAGGACACGAGCTAGGTTCCTACACTTAGTGGGTTGCATCCGAGCACTTGAGGAGGAGGACACGAGCTAGGTTCCTACACTTAGTGTGTAAAGTGTGATTACATAGTGTTTGTGTAGTGTGAGAGTTTTCGGTTATCTTGTAAACCGAGTGTGTAGAAGTTCCGGCTTCCAAACCGGATTGTGATAGTGGATATCTCCTCGAGGTGAGGAGCGGGGACGTAGGTAGTGGTGACCGAACCTCGTAAACATATTGTGTGTTTGTGTTTTGCTTGGCTTATATTTTATTTGTGCATATTCTTATTGTTCTTTTTTCATATCTATCTCTTGCAAGAACATATTGATCAACATAATTTTAATTAGCAATTAATAGGAATTAGATTAGCATAAGACCCTAATCCCCCCCCCCCCCTCTAGGGTCTAACATATTGATGTCAGGTATCATTTTGTGCGGGATTTCATAGAGGAAGATGATATTTCTCTCATGAAGGTGCACACGAATGAGAATCCATCAGACATGTTAACCAAGGTGGTGACAGGCAGTAAGTTTTAGCATTGCTCAGACTTGCTTAATATCAGTCCGTGTTGATTTGCCCAAGAGGACAATGGACAGAACTACGATTAGCTTGATTCCGCTCGAAGGGTACGTAGGCAATCATGGTATAATGGTGCAGCTGGTTTGGTCTGGTTTGGCTAGGTTGGCATTTGCGGTGTTCTTCTAGTGTTCGTACAAAATTTAAGGTTTATCAAATAATGTACAAGGTGAAGAATTGAAGAAAACGCACATGAGATTGAGCTCGCCTGCAGGCGAGGGAGTGGAGGCGAGGAGCTTGGGCGGAGCTTGGGCGTGGGCTAGACAGTCGAGGGAGTTCGTCTATGCGCTGAGGCGAGGACGAGCTCGCCTATAGGCGAGGGCCTGCGCGAGGAGATTCGGAGCTCACCTGATTTCTCGCCTGCTCGTGAGTGGAAGCCAGCTGGGAGAGCGAGGATCGCCATGTGAACGCAGCTCCCTTGCGTGAATGGGATCCAGCTGGAGACCTAGGGTTTCCCTATAAATGGGAAACCCTGTTCTCCAGATCTCCTTTGAGCTTCAGATCACGATTTTTCATAGTTGAGGAAAACTCTATGGCGGCAGCTATTTTTCTCAAACTTGTGGCATTTATTGAGAAGCCTTAAAGGCGATTCTCAGTGAGATTGAGCGGTGATTTATTCAGTTGAATAAATCACACGCGGTATTGTAGCAATTCTACAGTAATCTATATTTCATTTGAGAGATCTCAAGTTTGAGATCTTCTCTTTGCAAGTTTGTAATTTCTTGTGGTTAAATAAGAAATTATTTGTGTGGCTCCCGTGGACGTAAGCAAGTTTGCCGAACCACGTAAATCTGTTGTCTCATCTCCTTTACTTATTGTTTTATTTGTGTATTCGCTATTGCTTGTGTTGGTTTGTTCTCTCTCGGGCTGATTTAGCTTCTGCGGCCAAGTGTCAACAATTGAAGAACTGCAGAAATAATTAGGAATAATTTTATGAGCAGAACAATCTCTAGTGTAGTCTGTAATAGCCACTTGGCAGTGTTGCATAAATTCTTCATAGAGCCTGTACGTACTACAGTAAAGTGCATTATAGTCTTGATTCTCAATTTTGATTCATTCTCTTGGTTGACATTGTTAATTTACAAGGAGAAAACAGAGAAGAAAAGCAGAAATGATCGAAAATGGCCAAACTAAGAGGAACTTTGGGGCAAGGTTAAGAGAAGAGTGAGTTACTAAGGAAAATAACATATAAAGAAGTATTCATTGATGGACTATACTATGGATAATTAGCTACTGAATCCTGAACATTTTACAAACAATCATAAATAATTTAATAAATCTGCAATCATTCCATTTCGTAGCTAAAACTAGATAATTTTTGGCCAAAAGAAGAAAATCTTTTAAAATAAAAATATAACTGCGTCCTCATGGAGAATTCAGTGATTGTTCTAGCGAAGAAAGAGAAACTGGCAAAATATCATAATATCACATGCTATGATCAAAGTTCAGTTGATTAGTCAAACAGTCCACAGAACAACCACAACAACGGAAAGACTTATCACACAATCTAATGTTGGCTCTACAATCAGTTGTCAAGCCTACGCATATTTATTAATAGACAAATTTGATAATTAAGATGAACAGACTATTATCATTATTGCTGGTGACTGTTCAACATTTTATCTTGACCAGCTATGCGAAGACTATGCAAGACTGAAAATATATCAAGAATCAGCTTTTGCTTAAAAGAAATGTGAAGCTAAAGGAAAGACTTAGATTACGTTATTTTTAGCTACTCGCTTGTCTTTGAGTGTTGCTGCACCAATCAAATGGACAAGGAAGAGGAGAATTGAATAGTCCTATGCCTCATGCATGAGACTCTCAGGTTCCAGGAAAGCTGTTGAGAGTTATTTAAATAGAATCATCTTACATTATTAGCATAAATTATTGGCACATGATAGGCTCAGTGGTCAAAGAAGTTGCCTTATCATAGATTACAGAATTTAGGGCTTTGTCGTTCATCAAGGAGAGAAGGCTTTTTCCGCAAGGCTCAACTTACTTCAGCTTGTGTTTGGGTGTAAATGAAGTTTTCTGCGAAATGATCGTTGTTCTGTTTTCGTGGCTAAAGCTTACCATCGATTGAGTACAAAATTTAGTAGGAGTTCAGATTAAGCAGTGCGTATGGAGCAAAGTAGTATATCCATAAAGATTTGGAAAAATGCTTAACCTTAGGAATAGCGAACTGGCACATCTAGGAAAGCCAAAAGCAATATTTTCCCCTTTATAAATTAATATCGGCATTACCTGAAGACGGTATGGAAAAATGATCTCAGATCAGAAAATTCTCAATTGCATCTTACATGAGCAGAAAACTTCAACCAGTTGAAGATTAAATGATGGAATAAGTATGATAATAGTATTACCCAAGTCAAAATAAATACATCAAGTATTTGGACGGAGGAATGACTGCACAGGGATGGATACATGTTAGATAGTAACAAAATATTATAAGCCACCTGGAATTTTCCAAATAATGGAGAATATCATGGGAGATCCCAAATTTACTGATATCCGTAGTATTAATACACGCCTGCTGCAAGAGATACTTCAGCATTTGTTGACAACTCTCTGAAGTGCTCTCTTCACCATACCCGGTGATACCACAACCAAACTTCTATGCTGCAGGGAAGTTTGCAAAAGCCCATAATTAGTGTACTTAGTATCGGAACATTTACATCTGGAAAAATAACTAGTGTAAATAACCCAAAATCCAAACCTTAGCTTTCAGTCTAAGTACGAGTTTTCCATTAAGAATCGATGATTGCACTGAATGAGCATCCAAATGAAGGTTGCTCATCGCGTCAACTATCTCTAGTAACAAACAATCTCTCCAAGGGCAGTTCATCTCAAGCAAAATCTCTTTCTCAATCATAGTAATATTGATATCAACTGCATTATCTTTGGACCTAAACCAGTGGTCATGTTCTATCTTATTTTCCTCGATATCACAAGCTTTCCTCTTGTTTGCCAATGCCGTTCTTCTGTTGGTGCCTTCATAATTCCTGTGACTATCGGATGTCTCTTCTGCTACTTCTAAGTTCTTTCTTCTTTCTCTAGCCTCAACTTCTCCTCTCTCTTTGCAAGATTCCAGTTCCTCTACTCTTCTTTTGAGCTCTTTTACGTAGTCTATCGTATCACCAAGGATTGATGCTTTGTCCACCTGAAGTTAAAAGTGAGGGTTCAATTATGACATCTAGATTAAAATTTATAAAAAGTAAGTTGCAATAGTTGTTGAGTTAATCATGTTGAGTTTGATTTCCACGTTTAATTAGCTAGTTAGTTAGTTTTATTTCCGTAAATCTTGTGTTAGTGGAACGAGTCCTGGGTAGGCGTGGCTTGAATTTCGGATCACAACAAACCTGTAATTGGTTATAAATTGCAGTTAGATTTGTGTAGGCAATGAATCTTCTTCGCATCTTCATCAATTAAATAAAGTATTACTCCTTCAACCTGGTGTATCCGCTGTGTGTGTCAGTTTCCTCCTGTTTTTAATCCAACATTTGGTATCAGAGCGAGGTTAAGAGTAGATGCCAAAGATCATGCCAGCGGATGCATCACCATCGAGCAGCGGAACCGGTAGTACAGTGACGTTGAAGACAACTGGAAGAGACGGGACAGTTTCCCTCTAGTACCCGTTGCTCACGAAAAGCAACTATTCGGCGTGGGCGCTCAAGATGAAGGTGTACATGCGCAAGGCGTATGGGACGCCATTGAGCCTACTGATCCCAATGATGAGGTAGAGACGCGGAAAGATCAGATGGCCCTTGCTGCCATCTATCAAGCCATCAGCGAGGAGACACTCCTCGTGTTAGCTGAGAAGGAGACGGCTAAGGATGCGTGGGAGATGTTGAAGACAATGCACATGGGCGCTGAGCGCGTCAAGGAGGCAAAAATCCAGACTCTGAGGAGCGAGTTTGAAGGTCTTCGCATGCGTGAAGCGGAGACGGTCGATGAATTTGCCGCGAAGTTGACTACCACTGTTAACAAGATCCGTGCATTGGGGGACAAGGTGGAGGAGACCTACGTCGTCAAGAAGCTTCTCCGTGTTGTTCCTTCCAAGTTTCTTCAGATCACGTCGACCATTGAGCAGTTCAGCAACCTCAAGACGATGACAGTGGAGGAGGTCATCGGATCACTTAAGACCCATGAAGAACGGCTACGAGGCTATGGCGACAACGAGGACGAGCACGTCCTGCTGACGAGAACTGCGTGGAAGGCGAAGGAAGAGGTCGAGTGCTCGTCAAACTCGTCGAAATGGCGAGGAGGTGGTCGTGGTCGTGGCCGTGGCCGTGGCCGTGGTCGTGGTCGCGTGCGTAGTGAGGGCGGACGCGGGAATGAATCCAATCACAGAGAGAATAAGTTCGACAAAACCAAGGTAAAGTGTTACAATTGTCATCACTTTGGACACTTTGCTTATGAATGTAGATCCAAGAACAAAGATGAAAAGGTTCATTTAGTGGAGACACAAGGAGAGGATGAACCTGCCCTCCTCGTAACAGAGGAGATAATGTTACATGAAGAGAAGGTTGTGCCGAGAGAAGAAGTTGTGTATGATAGCAGTGTGTGGTATCTCGACACTGGAGCAAGTAATCACATGACTGGGTGCCGAAGAAAATTCACTGAGCTTGATGAGTCAGTGATCGGAAAAGTTAAGTTCGGCGACGGGTCTGTCGTGGACATCCAAGGAAAAGGCACTGTGATGTTTCAATGTCAAAATGGTGAGCATCGGATCCTCACCAATGTTTACTTCATACCCAAGTTGTGTAGCAATATTGTAAGCTTGGGGCAATTAGATGAACATGGGTGTAAGATAGTCATAGAAGGAGACTGTTTGCATATCTATGATAGAGCTAGAAAATTACTTGCTAATGTGAGGAGATCAAAGAACAGGTTGTACATTCTCAACCTCAAAGCTGCTCATCCAATGTGCTTGTTGGGAAGCCTTAAAGAAGATGCTTGGTTGTGGCACGCTCGCTATGGCCACTTGAATTTTCAAGCTTTGAGAAATTTAACTCAGAAAGGAATGGTGAAGGGGATGCCTACAGTTGATCACATAACTCAAGTGTGTGATGGGTGTGTCATTGGCAAACATCATCGTACACAGTTTCCCCAAAGCGCAAGTTTTCGAGCTGAGACCCCGCTCCAACTCATGCATGGTGACTTGTGTGGCCCAATCACTCCTACAACACCTGGAGGTAACAAATATTTTATGTTGCTTGTTGATGATTATAGTAGGTACATGTGGGTTGTGATGCTCAAGAACAAAGATGAAGCATTACATGCATTCAAGAAGGTGAAGGCAAGTGCAGAGATGGAAGCTAATACTAAGCTGAAGGCATTCCGAACCGATAGGGGTGGGGAGTTCACCTCTAAAGCATTCACCCAGTACTGTGAAGACTCAGGCATCAAGCATTTCCTCACAGCCCCATACTCTCCGCAGCAGAACGGCGTTGTCGAGCGAAGAAACCAAACTGTTTTAGGAATGGTGAGAAGCTTATTAAAAAGCAAACATGTACCAGCTACATTTTGGGGAGAAGCTGTGAAGACAGCAGTATATATATACTCAATCGAGCTCCAACAAAGAGTGTGGAAGGAGTGACACCATATGAGAGGTGGACTGGTCGGAAACCGAAGGTTCAACATCTTCGAGTTTTTGGCTGTTTGGTGCACGTCAAGACTGTGAGTCCATACACAAAGAAGCTGGCGGATAGGAGTGCTCCAATGGTGTTCCTTGGATACGAGCCTGGATCAAAAGCCTATAGAGTGTATGATCCTAATACAAGAAAACTACATGTAAGCAGGGACATAATTTTTGAAGAAGACAAGGAATGGAAATGGGAGTCTTCGGATGTTGAAGGGGATCCCAGATTCAAGTCAAGTGAAGGGTTCACAGTACACTTCAAGTTGGAACAAGCAGGAGCTCGACAAACCATATCTGACCAGTCACTCAATCTGCCTAGAAATGAAGCTGCATCGACGCCAAGTTCATCGAGTTGTAATGTACAATCGCTGGAAGGAGCAGAAGCATCAGGTTCACCTGCGTCTTCATCCTCAGCTGCAGCAATTTTGGGGATGCCAGGGAGCCATGATCAGGCAACTAGCTCTGAGAGACCTGTCAAGTTTCGATCCCTGCAGGAGATATACAATGACACTCGTGAGATGGATGAAGAAGCTGGGTTGTGTTTTATGTCTGTTGAAGAGCCAGCAAATTATGAAGAGGCAGCAAACAATGAGAGTTGGAGGCAAGCAATGGCAGAGGAGATAGCAGCTATTAGAAGAAACAACATGTGGGAACTTGCTGAACTACCGAAGGGCCATCAGGCCATTGGTCTGAAATGGGTCTACAAAGTGAAGAAGAACCCTGAAGAAGAGATAGTGAAATACAAAGCGCGCCTTGTGGCGAAGGGTTACGTACAAAAGCAGGGGGTGGATTTCAACGACGTGTTTGCTCCGGTTGCAAGACTCGAAACAGTGAGAGTCTTGATTGCTTTGGCTGCCAAGGAAGATTGGGAGATACATCACATGGATGTTAAATCCGCATTTCTGAATGGAGAGTTAGAGGAGGAAGTATATGTGACTCAACCAGTCGGATTTATAGAAAAGGGCCATGAAGAAGAAGTGCTTAGGTTGAAGAAGGCATTATACGGGCTGCGGCAAGCTCCTCGCGCATGGAATTCGAAGCTTGATAAGTGCTTACAGTCACTAGGGTTCATCAAGTGTCCTCTGGAGCATGCTGTGTATAAGAAACAAATGGGAGGTGCTATCCAAGTGGTTGGTGTATATGTGGATGATCTTATCATCACTGGGTCAAATGTCGAGGACATCACAAAGTTCAAAGAACAGATGAAGAAACTATTTGACATGAGTGATCTTGGATTATTAAGCTACTACCTGGGCATTGAAGTGAAGCAAGACTCACAAGCTATTACACTGTCTCAATCAGTGTATGCAATGAAGATACTTGAAAAACTTGGGATGGCTGAATGCAATCCTTGTCAAATTCCTATGGAGCCAAGACTTAAAATGAGCAAAGTAAACACCAGCCCTCCTGTCGATGTTTCTTTGTATAGAAGTATCATAGGGAGTTTGAGATACTTGGTTAACACAAGACCCGACTTGGGCTACTCAGTTGGAGTGATGAGCCGATACATGGAGTTGCCAACAACAATTCATATGAATGCCGTGAAACAAATATTGAGGTATGTGCGAGGCACTATAAACTTTGGGTGTTGTTATGACAGGAAAAAGCATTCGGGAGAATGTTTGATTGGGTATAGCGACAGCGACCTAGCTGGCGATATTGATGAATCAGCCATTGCTCTCACGAAGAACCCTGTACATCACGACAGAAGTAAACACATTGATACCAAGTATCATTTTATTCGCGACTGTGTTCAGAAGAAGGAGATTGAAGTGGAGTATGTCAGGACAGAAGATCAGCTGGCTGATATTTTGACAAAGCCACTCGGTCGACAAAGGTTTGTCGAGTTGCGTGAGAAGATTGGTTTGAAGAATGTGAAGCAAATACAACAAGATTAAGGGGGTGAATGTTGAGTTAATCATGTTGAGTTTGATTTCCACATTTAATTAGCTAGTTAGTTAGTTTTATTTCCGTAAACCTTGTGTTAGTGGAACGAGTCCTGGGTAGGCGTGGCTTGAGTTTCGGATCACAACAAACCTGTAATTGGTTATAAATTGCAGTTAGATTTGTGTAGGCAATGAATCTTCTTCGCATCTTCATCAATTAAATAAAGTATTACTCCTTCAACCTGGTGTATCCGCTTTGTGTGTCAGTTTCCTCCTGTTTTTAATCCAACAATAGTTTCCATTATAGAATCGGCGAGAAATTTTGGATCAGAACAGGTTTGGAGGCGCAGGAGTCGTTTTGGGTGCTGCGCTGTCGACCGCGGCGCAAGGCCGGTCGACCGCGAACGTGGACAAGCTAGAGTAGGAGTCTGGATTTAGCGCGGTCGACCGCCGCGGTCTTGGCGATATTTGGAGCACAGAAAAAGGAGAGTTTTTCTGAGCAATTGTTTGAGGGTTTATTTGGAGAGATTAAGAGATTTGTTGGTGAGATTAGTTGATTGGTTTGAGCTGTAGGCGTCAAAAATTACCTATAGGTCCCCACACCCGGCTTAAGACGGAGAGAAGATGATGAAC